TTTCCACGGTATTTTGTAGTTCCCTGAATAAGTCCTTCATTTCCAGGAGATCAGTTTGATTTTTCTTTAATATTTCCATTTCTTTAGTGAATTTTTCTCCCAAGTCCTGGATTTTTTTTGTGGTTTCTTTGTGTTGGTAATCCACTCTTTCTTGCATATCATTCAGTTTTCTTGCAATCCATGTTTGAAATTCTTCTTCTGTCATTTTAGTGTTCTGAGTTCGGTTAATGCCAATTGCTAGGGAGCTGTTGTTCCTCTTTAGGGGTGTGCTTTCCGTTTTAGTCTTCATACTTCCAGAGTTCTTTCGCTGGTTCCTTCCCATCTGGATCCTTCTTGCCTTTAGATTTTCGTTTGGATAATGACATGCCCTGTTTAGTCTCTGAGCCAGTAGGTGGTGTTTGTGGGTGAGATTCAACCCCATCTTTTATGATGAATCAGTAGCTCCAGTAAAAGGGTGTGCAGAATGACCTCCCTGTCAGTAGGTGGCACTTGCTGGGAGGAGCAAGCTGCAGTGCTGCTTTTGGGTCCTGTAGCCAGCTCTTGTTCCTCTGGAGAGGCCCTCTTGTGCCTCGGGAGGTAGGTGGGGCCCTGGGACTTCCAAGTGTGTCCTTATTCCCCACCTCAGTGGGGGCAGGTCCTGGAGTGAGTCTGGGCGGGGCTGGGTTGGGTAAGCCTGCCTTCAGGCTCCACAACTGCTGTTAGCAGGGATCAAAGCTCTATTCTTTACTTCCGTGCAAAGCTGGCGAGAGGGACTGAAATGGCTCCACTCAGCTCAAAAGTCTGGGCTTCGGGGTGGGGCTGTCTGAGACCCGCACTCTGGAGCAGGTCTCGCTCCCCTCCACCGTCCCCCACTCTGTGGCTTCTCCCAGGCCTCTGCCAGCAAACAGGACCTTAGGCCAATGGATCTCCCCTGGCTGTGACGTGGCCTGGGAGGTTCCCTACCCAGGATCACAGCCTGAGCTGGGTGCACAGCCCTCTTTTGGGAGGAGCGTTGCTGATCAGGCATGCTGATCTGCCCCTGAAGGCACACACTCCTAAGTAGGCTCTTTCACATAGCTCCCTTCTGTGCCTGGGGGCAGTGCTACCGTGACCTGGGTGTATGGGGTCTGATCTGCAGGCCTATCCCCTGGGTCCTGGAGATCAATCCCTGACCCTGCCAGGGGGAAGAGTGCTGATCTCGAATCACCTACAGGGTGCCCAAGCTGGATCGATTTCACTCCACCTCGGGATTTGCCCCACTCTCCTGGAGTCACCAGGCAAACAGCACCTCGGAGGGCTGGCGGGTGGGGAGCTCGCGGTCTGAGTACCCCTCAGTCTGCTGTAGGGCCCCAAAAGGAAAGGTCCCATTCCTTCAAGATGCCTCCGTGTGATGACTAAGTTGTTTCTCTGGGCACCCACTGGTAGGGAAGGGGAAGGAGAGAATGGAGTAATATGGCATCTGCTGATAGGCTCGGGTTTGTGCACAGGGAGGTGCCCTGAGGGAGCTGGGAGCCTAGTGCCCTGTCCGTAAGGGGCTCACTGCTCACCGGCGGCAGCCGTCTCTGGGCTGATGTCGGCAGGTCTCTCCAACTGCTCAGGAGCCCACCAACAGTCTGAGATGCAAGGGAGGGGAAAGTTATCTGCTCCACCTACCCTCGTTGCTGGTCTTCAAGCCTCTCGGGACCTTTCTCCTTCCAGTTCTCCTCCGCAGCATCTTCCCGTGGAGACTCCTGTAGTTTCAGGCACCCTTCCTTCCGACCCTCACCCGTTCTATGTTTTTCTGCTAGTTTATTTTTTTCACTTTCTTCTAAAATCTGTCTTTTTTGCAGAGACACTCTGACTGGCAGCTTTTCTCGTCCGCCATCTTGGCCCGGTGTTCTAAATTCACATATTGATGCTCCTGAAAGTCCTCCAGGAAAGAAACTACTTAAACTCATTGTTTCTCAAATTTCTTTGGCTATGGAACTCTCTTTTCTGAAACAACTATTGAATCTTGTGAGACAATCTTCTCATTTTAAAAGATGGGCTACACCCTAGAGATGTTCAAAAGTTACTTGTCATTTAGAATCACTTAATTACTGGACAGATAGAGTTAGTGTGGATGATTAAAACAATAATTGCTTTAAGAAGAGGTGAGAAATTATAAGGTGGTTATATAACAAATAAATGCCAATACTTTAGAAGATTATTCAGTCTGATTGTATATTGAAATCCTTAGAGGTCCACTAACCCCATATCCCTACCACAGATTCAAAAACATACTGTGTACCTTATATTGCTCTTTCCAACGACTTCGAGAAGCTAAACTCTCTAGACGAGGCTGAACAAAGCGGTTATCCAAATAATGAAGAGATGTCAACATATCTTGTGCATATGATTTTTGCCTAGTGCCATCTGTTCAGGAGATCAATGACAACAAAAAAATCATTTTGTCCATAAGAAACAATTAAACAATTTAATACTTAAGGATCTTTTCCCACAGTTTTAGGAAGTTACTTGGTTGGTTGGTTGGTTGGTTGGTTGGAAGCATTTTAAATTGGGAAAAAAAATTAATGAAGTTAAAAAATTATCATTCTACCAGAGCATTAGGAAAGAAAACAGGGTAAAAGACTCTATAGTTCTTATAAGTATCAAGCTTCAACATTATTTTCTGATAACAAAAA